TGAAGGGGGTATTAGCGAGCAAATAGCATAATAAAGATCAGGAACCACAGCAGACAGGTCTGAGATAAAGTCATAAAGTTTTAAACAACACTATAAAACAATTTTATATAGTGGTACCTAGATAGTGGAATGTATTGCCTTCTTTGCAATGTCTTGGTATTTTACATTATTTTAAGAAGCAGTGGAAGACCGATCTATTCACTCTGACTTTTAACTTGTTTTATGCTTAATAGTGTTACATGTGTCTTTTTTTTCTTTTATGCTTCTTATCACCTTTGTTTTACGTTTGTATTTATTGTAGAGAGTTTTGCGGGTTGTGACCCATGAAAGGTGCTCTCTTAAGTTTACTTAATTAAAATAACACTATTATGAAATTGAAAAAGTAAAAGCAAAAATATAAATGCCCAATCCAAATGTCTGTTTTCCTAAACTGGGAGGTGTTACCCAAAGAAACAGCCAAGAGACTCATAGCAACTCTGGGTTAACAGTAGGGCTGAAACAATTATTTGGATTGATCGTGATTAATCGATTATTGAAATAATGGTTAACTAATTTAGTTATCGATTAATCCTTAACTTGAGCAAAGAGACGACTAAAACATGCCTTTAGCTGACAGAAAAACCTGCTTTTAGCAGCAAATATACCAAAAATGGTGAAGAAAATATGTAAACACTTTGCATGTAAGATATAAATCGTTTTCTTCTGTCAATATACTCTAAAGTACTCCTAAAGTGGAAAAGATTTTGTTTCACCTGGTTCAATTTCACAAAAAGCCTTTGGCTATCTGATTATTTGAAAAAATTATTGACAGATTAATTGATTTGCAAAACAATCGTTAGTTGCAGCGCTGGTTAACAGGTGTCCACAGGTCTGTTGGTACTCAGCTATTTTAGGACACTGGATGTGGGAAAGGGTTCTCTGCTCTTATGTGGCCAATCTTGAACCGTTTGGCTTAGGGATGTGGCTGCCAAACACTTAACACTATAGATCAGCTTAAACACCATCTCTTTTGGGAGACATAGTGGTTGGAGCATCATGCTGTGGAGAAGCTCATTTAGAAGATGACTTGAGCTAATTTCATGGCCCTAGTGTAGGAAAATACTTGAGATTGGAGTAAAGGTTATTCTTACCACAAGTCAGCGACAATAAAAACCAACTGGAGATATAATGGAGTAGATTAAATCAAAGCATGATAGTGTGTTATATTGGGCTTGTCAAAGTCCAAATCTAAATCTAAATGATAATCTGGTGTCAGCCTTGAAAAATTATGCCCAGGTGATCTCGATCCTATCTGTCTGAGCAAAACGGTAATGTGCAAAATATCACCCCATTTAAAAAGCTGGCGTAGATATAACCCGAAGTACCTACATCTTGAAACTGTAGTAAAAGGCTGTTCTAGAAAGTACTGACTTCTAAACAATTGAAAGGCTGTTAATCCTTGTATTTCCACTTCATTATGTCTTACTCTTTGTAGATGTCTAAGTTTATCACATAAAACCTTAAACTATACATTGAGGTTTCAGGTTGTACCTGGACAAAAATGTGAAAAAAAGTTTGGAAGGTACAGTATGAATCTGATTATAAGGTACTCTACATGACTAACATGCTTTCCAACAATGTTTTGTCTCATGTCCAGCCCATATGGCTATGATAAGATGATGTGTTATTGCTGTCTCACAGTGTTTGGATGAGATATAGAGGAACTGTGCAATCAGCTGAGAGTTCACTGCACAGGGCCCCTGGGAAGCTTCCCATGCTGAGTGTAGACATATAAGCCGGAATGCTTTGGAAATGAGTCCACCAGAACTCTGAGAAGTTTGGCTGAAGGCCCACACTCTGAGTTGCTGCTGGAGAACTAGTTTCATGACTATGCTTGTTCTTAAGAAAATAATAACCAAACCTCAGGCACAGACAAATGCTTCTCATTCAAACTGTTTTGCTCTGGCTGTGGTTTACAGAGTTAAAACAATCCAGAGTAATTCAGTCACATTCAACAAGATATCTGTTTCAGAGAATGTGAAAACCTAATGTTTTAAAACAGATGGAGAAATACGTTCGTTCCAAAGGGAGTGTCCATTTCTAGTTTCTGAACTCCATGAACGGAGCAGTGTGATACAGAATGATTGCTCTGCAGGCTGCTAAAGATTTGGCCTCTGACATTTATTTTTCCATTCCTTCTAAGAAACACATGTGAAACTTGTCAAAATGACCTAAAAACCTGAGTTGTGCAAAAACAGCTGTTTGAAGATATGTACATATATATATATATATATATATATATATATATATATATATATATATATATATATATATATATATATATATATATATATATATATATATATATATATATATATATATATATATATATATATATATATAAGTGGAGGCCACTGACATTTTCTCCCCTCCTCATCTTTTTCACCAGTTTTGCATTTGGCTAGGGTCGCTGTCAATACTGTTAGCATGAGGCGCTACCTGGACCCTACAGAGGTTGCACAGGCAGTCCAACTCCTCCAGGGTGGCACATCAATACGTGCCATTGCCAGAAGGTTTGTTGTGTCTCCCAGCTTATTCTTAAGAGCATGGAGGAGATTCCAGGAGACAGGCAGTTACTCTAGGAGAGGGCCGTAGAAGGTCTACAACCCATCAGCAGGAGCGGTAGCAGGAGGAGCACTGCCAGAGCCCTACAAAATGACCCCCAGCAGCCCACCGGTGTGAATGTCTCTGACCAAACAATCAGAAACAGACTTCATGAGGGTGGCCTGAGGGCCCAATGTCCTCTAGTGGGCCCTGTGCTCACTGCCCGGCACCGTGGAGCTTGATTGGCATTTGCCACAGAACACGGGAATTGGCAAGTCTGCCACTTGCGCCCTGTGCTTTTCACAGATGAGAGCAGGTTCACCCTGAGCACGTGTTACAGACGTGAAAGGGTCTGGAGAAGCTGTGGAGACAATTATGCTGCCTCTAACATCGTTCAGCATGACCGGTTTGGTGGTGGGTCAGAGATGGTCTGGGGAGGCATATTCATGGAGGGAAGCACAGACCTATACAGGCTAGACAACGGCACCCTGACTGCCATTAGGTATCCGGATGAAATCCTTGCACCTATTGTCAGACCCTATGCTGGTGCAGTGGGTCCTGGGTTCCTCCTGGTGCACGATATTGCCCAGCCTCATGTGGCCAGAGTATGCAGGCAGTTCCTGGAGGATGAAGGAATTGATACCATTGATTGGCCCCCACACTCGCCTGACCTAAATCCAATAGAACACCTCTGGGACATTATGTTTCGATCCATCCGATGCCGCCAGGTTGCACCTCAGACTGTCCAGGAGCTCAGTGATGCCCTGGTAAAGATCTGGGAGGAGATACCCAGGGACGACATCCGTCGTCTCATTAGGAGCATGCCCCGACGTTGTCAGGCATGCAGACACGCTTGTGGGGGCCATACAAATTACTGAAAACCATTTTGAGTTGCTGCAATGAAATTTCAGCAAAATGGACTAGCCTGCCTCATCATTTTTTTCAATGTAATTTTTGGGGTGTCTTTGATTTCAGCCCTCTGTAGGTTGATAATTTTCATTTCCATCAAATGATGTGGCATCCTTTTGTTCCTAACACATCACCCAGTCCATATCAGTATAAATAAACAGTGTGATTTTTTGCCCCATTGAGATCTGATGTGTTTTCAAAGTGTTCCTTTAATTTTTTTGAGCTGTGTATATACAGTATAGGTTAAATGCAGAGATGGGAAGTAACGAAGTACAAATACTTTGTTACTGTACTCAAGTAGATTTTTCTGATATTTTTACTTTACTTTACTACTTATTTTAGGGCGACTTTTTACTTCTACTCCTTACATTTTTACACAAATATCTGTACTTTCTACTCCTTACATTTTTAAAAAAATTGTCTCGTTACTTTAGTTTTTAATCATTTCAATGGAGTTACCGTTATTATTTTTCACGTCATCAATACCAAATTCAATCTAATTGGATGGGAATCTACGTTGCATTTGACGCACCACTACAAGATGAATCGACAGATTCAGCGGTATTCATTGGCGGCAAATCATTGCAGCTTGGTGGCGGTGGCGTTAGCATAGTAGCATGGACGACGAGATGATTGAAAATGAACACAACGGAGATCTAGTCCTATTGGCAGACATCCATTTAAAATGTAGGCAACGGCATGAAAAAAGTGGTTTCTACTTTTACTTTTATACTTTAAGTAAATTAACAAGCCTGTACTTTGTTACTTTTACTTGAGTAAAGAAGTTTAATCAGTACTTCCACTTTTACCAGAGTATTTTTTAACACAAGTATCTGTACTTTTACTCAAGTACGGAAAGTGAGTACTTTTGCCATCTCTGGTTAAATGTAGAAATTGAGAGCAAAGTCTAACAGTGGTAAAATTCCTTGACCTACTTACTCTTGACGGTGATCGGAAAAGATAAAGTTGAGTCCTATTTTTTACTCTGATTGTTTTAAATCTTTATGGCTATAGCACCTAAAATTGAATGTTCTCCTGTTATTCCTTAAAATACTTAAAATAATAATTTCTTATACTGTTGCCATTGCAACAAAATACAGTATGACTTTACTTTGAAAGTGTTACTGTGCTAAAAATATATGTAAAACTAAGTACATTTTATACATCATAAAATGGTCCAGAAAAGTCTATTTTGGAGGGATATCTTTATATAATAATTTTTCACAGGAGTATTTAGTGTCTGCATTTAAATAACCTCCACCTGTTCGAACATGCACGCCATTTTTTTCAGTGTTTTGTACTATTGCCTTTAAGGAAAGGAGAATAGTTTGTATTCAGAATTGGTGGTTAATGACATATGTGGGGTGGTTGTTTCTACAAGTTTTAATTTTTTTAAGCTGCAGGGGGTTGTCTCCCCCTATCAGACATGGCTTGCTGTGCATATTGGGATGTCTGAGTCATTTCGACTTGCCACGCTGTCATGTTTTGTTTTGTTTTTCTTTCTGCAGAGAGGATTCTTTTCTCTGCCAGAGGGGCATTTTTTCATTGAACCTGTTCAGAAATCGCTCAGTGATCCTGCAGGGGTTCCAGAGCCGCACGTTGTCTATCCAAGATCCACAAAAGAAAACCAAAGAAGAAAGCGCAGCCTTGAGGCCAAACAGACTCCAGGCTCCTGCGGAGTTCAAGGTGTGTCCTTCACTCAGTTTTAGAACATACAGCTCCAGGTGTGTGGGAAATTATTTTTTTTCTCTGCCTACACCTGATTCAACTATGATTGTATGCTAAAGCTATGTGTTTAAATATTCACGTTTAGATGCTTCAAGTGACTCTCTCCAGGTGGAAAAAGAGAGGGAGGAATGGGAGAGGGAGCAGCAGAGGGAGGGGGCTCAGTCCCGTTCGCAGCGCTCAGTCAGCCGAGAGCGATGGGTGGAGACCATGGTGGTGGCCGACTCCAAACTCATTGAATATCATGGCAGTGAAAATGTTGAGTCCTACATATTTACCATCATGAACATGGTGAGGACCTTTTTTATTTTGATTATATGATTGCTCCACACATGATTGCACATGCTCTTTTTTAACATTATTTTTATGCTGACAGGTTGCTGGAATATTTCATGATGCCAGTATTGGAAATGCTATTCATGTCATCCTAGTGCGCCTCATTCTGCTACAAGGAGATGAGGTAACAGTTATCCAAAGTTTTTAATATCCAAAGGATTTATAGCTCATCTGTGGAAACTTGATAGTAACTGCTGCATACATAGCACTTGAAAGGCGAGAGAATAGATGAAAAGCTGCTGAAATAACCCTTCCATAATAACACAATGGAACAGGCCCATTAAGAGTTTGGTGAATTTTTTTTTCCATCTAACTATCTGCTTTAAGTGCTCCATATTTATACATGTGATATTTGGACAAAATGTTTTTTTCCTAGCATGCCTCGCCTACATGTTCATGCATACAAATTGGTTTGTATGTAAATGGTAGTAATGGAGACATGTTGACTCCAAAATGACATTATTTCACTGCAGGTTATTTTAACTTTATTTTAGACTTTTAAGTACATTATTATTTGTCTCTGGTAGAAAACTGATCTTGAAGCCTCCTATCTATCATGTTCCAGCAAAATAGAAATTTGTTGATCACTTGGTAAAGTTTGTAGATACTCTGATCAGTTACAAAATTAAGGTTGAAAAGACAAAAAATATTAAGTTACCATTAGTTAAACTGAAACTATTAGGGAGGGAAATAATGATGTTTTGCTTTCATGCTTTAAAAACGATCCACCTGCTCATCTTTAATTTGTGTATTACAGCCAACAGATTCATTAATTCACTGTTTCATTATTAGCAATATATATGCCATACTTTACACTGTATAGATTCTAAGGAGGGAAATTGTGTTTCTGTATTTGTAAACGTTATTTTTAGGGCCTATATTATTTTGGATTTTAAATAGCTTAAATAGGCCAATAGAAATTGGACCTTCAGTTTAAGAAAATACTTTTTTTAATTGAAAAAATACCGTTTACACTAAAAGTTTTTTGGGGGGGTGAGTATTTCGGGCAAACAGTCAACATTGTGTAAATTATTACAAAAGTACCAAACTAGCACTTAGGGAGTAAACTAATTAAGTCATTTTTTATGAAATAGGTACTTTTATTTAACTCTACCTCTTTCCACTGAACTATTTTAATAGTATCTGCGAGAAAAAAAAGCTTTGGGGTTTAAAAATTCAAAGGCAGTCCTGTTATTTCTCCAGAAACATACATGAAATGTTAAATATAACAAGACTGCATTCCTCCTGTTGCAGAAAGGATTGAAAATAGTTCACCATGCAGACACAACTCTGTCCAGTTTCTGCGCATGGCAGAAAAACCTGAATCCACAGAGTGACACTCACCCAGCTCACCATGATCTGGCTGTTCTTATCACAAGGCAAGATATTTTTCAAACCCAAATTGCTGTCATGAGATATGCATATCAATTTATTACATTTGTTTTCCCTACAAAGAAAAGATATCTGTGCAGGAATGAACCAGCCCTGTGAGACTCTCGGTCTTTCTCATCTGTCTGGGATGTGTCAACCCCACCGCAGCTGCAACATCAATGAGGATTCAGGACTGCCTGTGGCCTTCACTGTTGCTCATGAAATGGGCCACAGGTAGTGCTTTTTTAATTGCTGTAAATGAACTACCTGCTCATTAGAGGAACTAGGGTCATTATGAACAAAATGCTATTGTTAGTGTTATGAGTGTGCCGGACATCGAGGAAAGTAAATGTACTTGTTGAAAAAAATTAGTTTAGAGAAAAAAAAGCATTTTACTCATTTATCAACTTCATGAAGAAAATGCAATTAGAGTTGAAGAATGATAACAATAGATCAGAGCAAACAAAAATGACATGGAGTTCCTCAGGGAGGTTTTTTCCAGACCACTTTTATTTAACATTCAAATGATTACTGCCTAAGATTGAACAGTACAATATCTCTGTTGATGACCTGCACATTTTATTTCTGTCATAGCTTAACAATAGTCCTCTGGTCTCCTCTGTTCTGAGGTGTGTCTGAGGGGAGCTCATTTAGGTGAGACACAATTCACACCAAGCCCCTCTCCAGGTCATACAGCATCCCAATTCAACCCGTTTAACCATTTTTGTAGTTTTATAGCTGACATACATTTAGCTAGGGGTACAGAAACTAAAAGTTAACATAATGAAGTTGGTGGGATTATACACCCAACAACTAAAAATTTTGACCTATCAATTTGGGACTTTGACAGCCTTGACTTTTGACTACAATATCACTTGAAGAAATATTTCTGAAATTGATAAGCCAAAGTCTATGACTAGGGATGGGAATCGAAAACCGGTTCCTGTTAAGAACCGGTTCCGTATTTTCCGATTCCATGGCATCGTTTGGCAGCTCACTGAACGATTCTTTTTTCGATTCCCGCAGCACCAGAGCCTAGAGCGCCGGCTCTGGGGAGCACGACTTACGTCACGTTTTTTACGTAAGTTACGCAAGTTACGCAAGTTGGAAGAACTATTCGAGGAGGAAGACAACGAGCTGCGGTCACTTTGTGAATCAAAGCCCCGTCTTTCCTTAGCCCAGAGGGTAGATCAGGAAATCCAGCTCTGTAAAAGCTTGCCCTCCATCCCCTGCAGGGATAGCGCCACACTGTGGTGGTGGAACAAGCAAGATGTGCTGCCCTTGCTATCTGACTGGCTGAAAACTACCTCTGTGTGCAGGCTTCCTCCACCCCATCTGAGAGGGTGTTCTCCACGGCTGGAGACACCATAAGCCCTGAAAGATCCCGTATCCTTCCAGAAAAAGCAGATATGCTCATCTTTCTGCAAAATAACTGTTAATTTTCCCTACTACTGTTTTATAATTAGTATTTTTTGTTATTTAAAATAGGTTATTATCACATCATTTGTTATTAGACATTGTTGGTTATTAAGTTTGTTCTTGTATATTGATTTTTCATTTAAACACAGATGTTACTCCAGTTTCACATTTCCTGTGGACATCTTGATCTTGTTGAGTTTGTAAGATTGTGCAATAGTTAAGTAAACAAATTTGATTCTGATAATCAAACTGTTTGTTCTCCTTTTCCCCCCAAATTGGAATCGAAAAAAGAATCGATAAAGAATCGAATCGTTTCATAGAATCGAAAAGGGAATCGGAATCGTGAAAATCTTTTCAATTCCCAACCCTATCTATGACTTTGTCTAGCAGTTCCATGGCAAATGTAGTGAAATTACTGTAGAAAACAAAAACAAACAAAAAATATATAAAGCATAACTTAACAGGAAATAGAGAAAACCAAGTGGATTTTGAAAATGACCCAAAGAGAATAAAATGATAGCTACACAGCACATGGAGAACATTAATTAAATTTTCTGCACTCTTTGAGGCTCCAAGTCCACAAGCAATGTATTTAAGTGTTGAAAAGTGGATTTTAGGTACATGATCTGTACTTATAGATTATTTTCAGGTCAGAAAGTCCTAAAGCACTCTACACTACAATCATTCACCCATAGTTTCAGACCCTTGTGGTAGCAACCTACATTGTTGCAACAACTGCCTTGGGGCACACTCACAGAAGCTAGTTTGCTATACCCAGGTGCCACCAGGCCCACTGGTCATCAGTAGCGATACTGGTGATGAGTCATACTGGTGATGAGTGTTGCCCAAGGGCAACACAAAAGGGATGGACGGAGCTGGGGTTTAAACCACAGCACTTCCGTTTCAGGATGATCTACATCATTGCCACTCTTACCCATTTTGCAAAGACAGAAGTTGTTATTGGAGTCTGAACTTTGAGAAAACTCTGGCTCCCATTTGTTAGAGGGAAAGAATAAAAAAATATGTTAATGCCATTCAAGTACTGTTGCAGTGTTGGCCTAAGTACGTCAAACAGTTCTTAAATTTAAGAGTTACAGAGGTCAGGTTTAAACTATATAGACCCCTCATCTAGGGGGCAGTAGGACGTAAACCAGTACTTTCTTATAATGGTTATGATTATCTGTTCTTTGTAGAAAAAAAAAAATCTTTATTGTCCCAGAATGGAGAAATTCTGGTACTGTTTTAAATGTCATGGCACTTTTGTTTCTTTTTGTTGAATGCTTTTCCAATCATTGAAACGTATTTCTTCTTTTTGAATGCATTTCTCCCCTCATAGTTTTCCTTTAAAAGCCCTTCAAATTAACCTGTGCATGAATGGTTCCATACAAATCAGCTGTCTTGCCTTAATCAACCTTTCTAAGAAAACACACTTTAACCTGTCGGCAATGTTTTTCTTAAGTGAGTTAAAAGTTTAAATCCATCTTAACATAAATACTGTATTTAAGTCATGTTGATTTGTGATTTAATACAGTTTTGGGATTCATCACGACGGCCAAGGGAATGACTGTGAGGTGGGAGGAAAACACCCTTTCATCATGTCAAGGCAACTTTTGTATGACAGTTCACCTCTTACGTGGTCCTCCTGCTCAAAAGAGTACATCACACGCTTCCTCGAGTAAGACTGATTTAGAACATTGTTTTTAAGGTATTGACCATAAAATGATGACTAGATTTCATTCATTTTACTTTCATTTTTCTTCTTCAGGGACATGTGATTTGTCTGAAAAACGTGTTTATGTTTCTTAATCGGTCCAAGGAGCAATCCTAGTAAATAACAACAACCCCCCCTGAAGGTCTAGCACAGATTTGCATTAATAAAGCAACACATACATTCCATATTTTTTGCAGACCTTTATCCCCTCTAGTAAAATTAGACCATTGCTGTGTATGTGTACTGTAGAAAAGGAAAAAAAGCATTGAAGTCAGTGGCTGAAGTCTGAAAGGACACCTCAGTTAGTGTGATGTTATGGTAACCATCAAAATAGGAAATTTAGCCAAGCATACTAACTAGTTATTTTAAAAATATATCTCTCAACATAGCAAAAAAATAAAAAAATAACTGCTGCTTCCTTTGAACCAAAAGGTGCTTAACTAAACAGATAATCAGCAGGTCTGCCAGGAATAAAAAGAATAACATTATTAATTTTTTTTTAAACAAAAAAAGCATCAATACTTCATACTTCTGATAAGATAATAGAACACAATGATTAATGCAGTTATAATAAAAAAATCAAATGATAATAATAAAATGAAAATAAAAAACCTAAGCAACTCAGGGGCTGCTGACGGGCACTGCTTTGCTTTCTTGGATTCTATGAATAGAAGTTATTTTAGAGCATTTATTGATCCTTTGTGCTCTGGAACAAGATGCATTTGCTGTTGAAAACATTGAGTTTATGACTTCAACACAGGGATCAAAACAAAAACATAACGCAACTACAGCGACCGTCAAAAACTGTGTGTTTCCCGCCTCAATCAGCATACCTGCTGAGAAGTTACCTGTGGCTCCTTTTAAACATATGACACCACCAACTGTGACCTTTGGGTAGTACACCAAACACAAAATAACACAATAATGAATAAGGAAGAAATGAAGAAGAGGGGTAGTGGCCATCTTACCACAGGCTGATGTGTAGACCACTGGGGGAGGTTGATGTGATGCAGGCCTCTGTCACTATGCCCTTTTACTTCCATCAATTTCTCTGAAGTTTTCTTAAAAAAACTTCAAACTAAATAAAACTTCTGATGAAAAGATTTTGTGGCATCCAAACCATAATATCAATAAACCTGGATTAACTTGCATTGCCTTTTTTTTCCACTTCAGCCCATTCCTGAGAAAACAGTTGAGCCCAAAAAAAAAAGGAAAACTTTGACTGCCTTGTGGCTATGTCATTAGCCAATATATGGATTATTTTGTTCCCCCCAAAAACTGACCTTGCATCCATTTATATTTGCCTTAGCCGAGGCTGGGGTTTCTGTTTAGATGATCGTCCTTCTAAGAGGGATCTGAGCACCCCTCTGGCTCGTCTTGGTGTCCGCTACACCCCCCTTCACCAGTGCCAGCTCCAGTATGGTCCAAATGCTACTTTCTGTTCTGAGGTTGATGTAAGTGTTGCTCAAATAAAAATTAAAAAAAAGAAATCAGTTAAACTCTTCTGGACTGAGACCTCAGTTGTTGACTTTATGTTACAGAACGTTTGCCAAATTCTTTGGTGTTCAGTGAATGGTACTTGTCGATCAAAGTTGGACTCACCTATAGACGGTACACGCTGTGGACCAGATAAGGTAAACAAGCTTTTCCATATTAAGGCTTTGATTTCAGATGAAAGGGATATATAGTGCTTTTTCTTTCTCACACTTAGTGGTGTATTTCTGGAGAATGTGTAATTGTTGGTAAACTCCCAGAGACAGTGAATGGAGGCTGGGGACCATGGGGTACCTGGTCCCACTGCTCCAGGACCTGTGGAACTGGAGTTCAGTCTGCAGACAGGGAATGCAACAATCCCAAGTAAGAAATTAAAATTGACCTCTTTTTCTTCTCTTTAAACCTTGGTTGGAGGGTTGATTGAAGATGTCCTGTCATCCAACAGGCCAGAGTTTGGAGGCAAGTATTGCACTGGAGAAAGGAAGCGTTATCGGACATGTAACACCAAACCTTGTCAGAATGAGAAACCGTCCTTCAGAGAAATGCTCTGCAGTGAATTTGACACAGTGCCTTACCACAATGAGCTCTACCAGTGGATCCCAGTTTATAACCCACGTAAGTGATGAAACCCTTAAAGATACAATTTATTTATTTTCTGCTACAAAACATAAAGCAATGATGGATGCAGTTTTTTATATTAATCAATAGGGGGCAGCATTACCTCTGGAAAGCCTATGTGCTGAGTTTTTTATGTCAGTTTAGAGATACAAAGCAGTTATTATAGACAGTAAAATTTGATACAACACATCAGAAATTTTAAAACTATCATCATGTGATTTCGATGTCAGCTGTTTACTAACGTGCAGAAAATAAAGCAAGATTATCTTATTCTCAGGTAATCATGTAGTGTTCTAGTAACTCAGTGATAGTGAAAATAAATTTCAACTGGTTCTTGTGGTGGAAAACAGATATAATAAGATATATACATATATATATATATATATATATATACCTAGCAACAATGAAAAAGAAAACTAAAGAACAAGTTATCTTGATTTGTGTTCTTTCTACTCTCTACTCAGTAAATCCCTGTGAACTTCACTGCCGACCAGTTAGTGAGTATTTTTCGGAGAAGATGCTCGATGCGGTGACTGATGGGACCCCGTGCTTCATGAACGAGTCCAGAAACATCTGTGTCAATGGAGTGTGCAAGGTAGTGTGCCTGGGTAAGAGACATGTAGAGACTGGGAGGGTTATAGTGGAGCTGGACAATGACACATTGCAGGGCAACAACATGGAGAAAGAGGGAGAGGATTCCCTGTGGAAAAATCCACTGTTGTTTGATTTGTGTGTTTGTGTTTAGGAGGTCGGCTGCGACTTTGGTATTGACTCAAACGCAGTGGAGGATCGTTGTGGAGTGTGTCTGGGAGACGGCAGCAGCTGTGAGACAGTTTCTAAGACATATGAGGAACAGAGAGGTTTTGGTGAGTGTAGCTGCAGTGACAAATAGCCTTGCAAAATTTCTCATACCTCCTGATTTTTTCCCCACATTTTTTCACTATTTTTATGTGGATTTAAAGTGATAACTGAACTACAGCTGCCCTGTTTCGAAAAGTACACCCACAAAGTCTGGCAGACCCTTAAAATATTCACAGAACTATAGGTGAATAATTCAACATATCCTTGTTTCACTCCTTACAAAGGAGTTTTGAAAACAATGTATGATTTTCTGTCCATTTCATAATTAGTTCCAACCTTTTAGAAATAAAATTCATTAAAGCTTGCGATTGCAACATAGTGAAATGTACTGTGTGAACACTTTTGTTAAGCACTGTGTCCAAACATGAGAGTTCACGGAGCAGGCAGACCCCGAAGAAGGAAAAGCTGTAATAGGCCAACTAAAAGAGTGTGAAAAAGCATCTGGGGTTGTGTATAAAAGATTGTACAGTTTTTCTTTATTGCCATGGCAGCAACCCCTTCCACACTCTCTGCAGCTGTTTATCAAGTTGTGCTCAGATGTGAGCATGCATGCATGTTCATCTACAGGCCCATTTTTGGCTAAAGTTGCACATCTTTGTCTGGTTTTACTGCACTAAGAACAAAATAACTCACCAGCTAAATCAACATACAGTGAAGACAGATTCATAGTGAAAGAGGCCCTAAAACAATAAAAAAAATCTCTCTCCCGCCCGCCTTCTTCTCTGCATTCTCTGTTTCTTTCTGTGTGTGTTTGTTGCACGTTGCATCCCTTCCAGATAACCGGCCCAGATGTGTGAGACTTCAAAAGGCTTACATCTAGGGCTAGTGCCCCCCACCTCCTTTCACAAACACACACCTTCCCACAAACATCATTAAACTGCACAGACCCACTCATTGCTGCTTTCGTCTTCCCTCAAACCACCCACCTCCCATCCCCACACAATAAAAAACAGAGACAGGGCAGTGCACCCCCCGAACCCCACCCCCACCACGCCAAATAAGCACACATTTAGTCACAGATGCCAGCAACCCCTGCAAACTGAGCCCACCCGGGTAAAAAATCTGAGACAAGGTGTCTGAACGTCTGGATGTGAGTGTGGCAGCTGCCATGGTGGGCCATCCCATTACCTCAGTGCCACTCTGATTTCCCTCCTGACTCTCCCAGGGTACGTGGACGTGGGGGTGATACCTGCGGGCGCCCGAGACATTCTGGTGAGGGAAGCCGAGGAGGCCGCTAACTTCCTGGCCCTTAGAAGTGTGGAGAGAGACGAGTATTTCCTCAATGGGAACTTAATCATCCAGTGGAATGGCGAATACAAGGCAGGTGGGACAACATTCTACTACGAGCGCAGTGGAAACATGGAGAACCTCACATCACCTGGCCCAACCAAACAGCCAGTAATGCTTCAGGTAGAGTGGATGGGAGCAACTGTTTTTACAGTCCTTAAGAACTTCTAGTAAAATAGATTTTCCCTATTAAATGAAATCAAAAACATAAACCTTTAAAGATTTTAAGGATGCAAGCTTCAAAGCAGATTTCTTCATGTTTTTTTCTTTTGTTGTTTGTTTTTGTTTTGTGTCAGTTTAATACTCTGGATAATTTTAATGCTATTTAATTTCTTTTATTTTTGCTGGAGAGAAACATTCATGATCTCATCAGTTTAGCTGCTGCCCTCTTAGTAAAATATTTAGTTCGGATAATGTCTCACACTGTAATTTGGCGGAGTCTCGATAATCATTAAAATCATAAAATTACAACCCTTCATGATGGATTCCAGTGATTTTTTTTCTCATCTGTTCTTGAATTTTCTTAAATCAAGACGAGATTGGCATCTTTTTGATTTTAGCTTACTTTATAGTGCACAACAGGTTCTGTTTAGGTTACTTCTGAGTTTCCAGAATAGACATTAAACAGAGCTATGTGCAAATTTAAAGTGATATCTCCATTTAAAAAATATGTCTAATCTATGTTAATCATCATCAATATAAAAAGGGTGGGTTCGGTAAGCGTTTTCCTAATAAATGAGTCATCTTTTGAAAACTTTTTGCTTTTTCATTGGATGACCTTAACATTTAAGCAAAATCAGAAACCTGTAAGGGCCCATATTAGAGCACCAAATGTAAAAAGAAATAATAAGCAAATAAGTATTTGTATGAAGTACAATACATTGTTTTGTGTGTTTTTTGTTTTTCTTTGTAGTTGCTTTTTCAGGAGGAGAATCCAGGTATCACGTTGGAGTACACCATCAAGAAGAGTAAAGTAACAGAAAATGAGGTCCCTGAACCTATTTATATCTGGAGACACGGAGCCTGGACACACTGCAGCACCACCTGTGGCCTCGGTTTGGCTTGAGATGAAACATCTTGCTTTTGTTTTGTTTAACAATAAAACTTAATGAACCAATAATTTGTTTATTCTTAGGAGAGCAGCACCAGCCAGTGCTGTGTTTTGAGGTAGACGTGGGTGTCGTGGATGAGTCGTTGTGTGACCAGGACAGCCGGCCAGAAGACAGACACCGCAGGTGTAAGAATATGGAATGTCCTGCGAGGTTTGTAGTAACCAACATTCTTATTTTTATACTTTTGAAAAACTCAATTCACTTCTTATCTTACAATATACAATTTAGTTGAACAATGTAGATGTACTTTATCCTTACTACTTAGCAATTATAACAGGTAACAGTTTAAAGCTTTACATTGATGTAATTGTTTGAATGTTTTAACTAATGGATTCAAAACTGTTCTGAAATATTAAAAGCTTGTATTGACTTACAAACAATATCTAAGAACATTGTCATTGTGTTTATTAATGAAACACAATAACAAAATATGTATATATATTTATATATTTAGATCAAGTATTTAGATCAAGTATTTAGATTAACCTTGTTGTAGTTTCCACACTGGACCATTTCATTACAGGTGACTTTATGTCTTGTAAATTATAACAACATGTGATAGCGGTGCATTGAAAAACAAGAACAATAAGAAAATAAGAAATCTAGAGTTCTGAGTCTAGAAAAGTTTACAGGGGCCCTATGAAAGTAAACAATAAAACTGCTAATGATAAAATTCACAAGATCTAAGAGTTTCGAGTATCAAAATACATGATTTTATGATAGATGCTATAAATTACTTTTATAAATGCACATTAGTAGTATCCCAATATAAAGTGAAGCTTTAAAATAATACCTAACCTAAATTTAAAGCATAAGTTTCTGTTACTAACATACTAGTGCCAGGTGTTTGAAATTGTCCCTTCATTTTATTTACTAACTTGGTTTGTTTAGCTGTCTTTGCATCCAAAATGGGGCCTAAACATTGTTAACCTGGTGGTCCTTAAATTATGTTTGTTTGTAGCAGGACATTATAAACAGTATTTGTCCATCTTTATTTGCTAAAAAGACCCTTATACCTCTGTATCATTGGCTGAAATATTCTTGCTTACCTTGTTTTTCTGTCCTTCTCTTGCTCTTAGGTGGTGGGTTGGTGGTTGGCAGCAGTGTACAGAAAGCTGTGGATCAGGAGGATTGAGGAAGAGAACTGTTCTTTGTGTACGCAATGTTTCAGGAGAAGAGAGGGTACTCCACCCTGTGGAATGCAAGCATCTGCTGAAACCAAAACCTTCTTTACCATGCAACAGAGATGTTCCATGTGGGCAGGAATGGGCTTTTGGCAACTGGGAGGAGGTAAACCTTTTTTTAAGGGTAGCTTGTTTCCTGCTGATAAAACAGTTTTGTTGCAAGTATTTTACCCCCTAGCCCGATGTTGTTCATTGTATCCTCTGCCTTTTAGTGCCCTGTCACATGTGGAGGAGCTGTTCGATCACGCACCGTGACATGCACATTAGCGCCTAAGATGACCTGTGACCCTTCAACCAAACCCAGGTCCAAATCACTGTGTGCTTTGCAGAGCTGCCCAAACTCAAGTCTTCACAGACGATACGGGATTCCTCCTGCGCACCGTCGTATTTACCCAAATAAAACGTATCCAACTATACATCCTAGTTCACCTTCATTAACATACATAAGCTCTACAGCTGTGCCTACATCAACCACCGAAGAAACTACAATAGCTACCACAAAATCCACTTTTAGTTCTCAAGCTACAGTTTCTGAAATTATAGACCCCAATGATCGTGAGTTTAGTGCTTTGGTGAGGAAAAATAAAGATGCAAAAAAGAAGGTTTATCCCAAAAAGTCAAGTTCAACTGATAAGAAAAGAAAAGCAAGTGTTAGAGCCAAGGAAAATATAGACCTAGAAGAGGGAAGTGCTGAGGATGGGGGGCTGTACTCCCCAGGATATGATTATATTGTGGAGGACAACACGAAAGAAGAAGAGAAGATTATTGACCTGGATTTTTTCACCACGGTGACGTCTCTAACAAGTCTTCTTCAGACAACCACACCAAAACCACAAGCACGTCCACTTACCAAACATATAACTAGAGTGCCACCCACAACTGCTTCACCATTCTTTTTTACCAGTACTGACACATGTTCAAGGACAACCCAGCACTTACCCAACATCAACACCACCTCAAATGTCAAACCATACCGCCCATGGACACAACGGGTTCCTCAAACAACTCCCATGTATAGGTATGGCTCAGTCCTCTCAAAAACTGGCTTCAAAATAAAGCAGGTTCCTAAACCAACCATGAAAAAAACATCCACCACTGCAACTGTACCTCATGTGCCATTAACTCACATGAAGAAGACCTCTGCAACAACCAAGAAAAACATTCCAACTGCTCGTGATATGAAAACCTCTTCCAGGTCCAAAGGAAGCCACTTTAAAAGCCAAAACCAGCAGCCAAGAAGTCTGCAAAGCAGTTCCATCAGTGACCGAGGCAACCTGATAACTAGAGAACCTGTTAAAATGGATACATATTGGATTGTTGGTAACTGGAGTGAGGTGTGTAGAGACATTCTCCAAACATTTTGTTTAAAATATAATAGAATGGAAAATCCCTTTATTGTCCCACAATGGGGCAATTCTAGTGTTTACAGCAGCAAAAAGGTTATAGAAAAAATGGTCCCACAAATTTGGACCTTAGAAAGATCCATCCATCCATGTTCTAACACGCTTATCCCAAGTGGGGTCACGAGGGGTGCTGGTGCCTATCTCCAACAGTAATTGGACAAGAGTCGGGGTACACCCTGGACAGGTCGCCAGTCCATTGCAGGGCAAAAAGTGACAAACCATTCACACCTAAGGGGACTGCAGAGAAGCCAATTAACCTAACAGTCATGTTTTTGGACTGTGGGAGGAAGCTGAAGTACCCAGAGAGAACCCACACATGCTCAGGGAGAACATGCAAACTCTATGCAGAAAGACCCTGGGCTGGGAATCAAACCCAGAACCTTCTTGCTGCTAGGCAGCAGTGCTACCCACTGCGCCACTGAGCAGCCACCTTAGAAGAATAACAAAGTAGTGAATAATTAAAAGATAAACAATAAAATACTGTACTGTAAAGTATTTTAACAATATAAAACTGCACCTGGAGAATAAATATACAGTATACAGCTATGGCCATACATTACTGGCCATATCTACAGTAATGGATATTTGAAAATAGCAGCAACATCAGAGATGTGCAAAATGACAGCAGCAGGTTATTTGCCCAACTGTGCAAAATCAGCATAAATGTAACAACTTATTGAAGTTCTTGGGAAAAATGGTTGTTAAGGGTCTTACACCTGCTGGGAGGAAGGATGTGTGATTACCCTCACTGGTGTATTTAAGGTGCAGCAGTCTGTCACTGATGGAGCTCTCCAGTTCTGCAACAGCTTCATGCATGGGGTGGGAGACATTATCCAACAGAGATTTTAATTTACTTAGGATCCTTTTGTTTCCCACCTCTAGCACTGAGTCCAGAGGGCATCCAATCACAGAGCTGGCGTCTCTGATCAGCTTATCCAACCGCTTTCTCTCAGCTAAAGATAAGCCACTGCTCCACCAGACAGCTCCATAGAAAATGGATGATGCCACAAAAGAGTAAAGAAAGAGAAATGCCACAAAAGAGTAAAGAGAAAGAGTAAGTTAGCCTATTTATATCAGAGAAGTTTCACTCCAGTTACACTGGAGCATAAATTAGTCTAAAATCTAAATCGTTGGAATATTTAGTTACTCCCCTTGTCTCCCCAGATAGTTGAAAATATACTGTGAATATTCAGTTTAAATTAACCAAAAAATTGAAATGTGGATATTTTAAATCTGGGATTATTAAAGATAATGTTGTCGTTAGGGGAGAGGCAAGATACAACCAGAATATGTTGAAAATCTATTGTAGAGACGCACATGACAAACAACCAAGCCATAAAATCCCATTATAATCACACTAGGGCTGCAACTAACGATTATTTTGCAAATTGATTAATCTGTAGATTTTTTCATTTAATCAATTAATGATCATCTCTTTAAAGAAGATTTTTTAATTAAATCTAACCAAGTGAAACTTAAACTTAAAGTTTTTTTTATGTTAAATGCAAAATGTTTATATATTTCTTAACAATTTTTTTCAATAATTACTTCTTAACAATAATTACTGCTCTAAGTGGGTCTCCAGTTAACAATTAATTGATTACTAAATTAGTTGACAAATATTTCAATAATCGATTCATCATGATTAATCCGATTAATTATTTCAGCGCTAAATCACACTTATGATGTCTTTGAATGAGAATATGCAGATTCTACTGAAAAGGACCATTGGTCAAGATTAGAACTTAGGACCTTCTTGCTGCTGCAAACAACTGTGCCACAATTCATCCCAGTGATGCATGGTGCCTATGATGCTTATGATAGAAAAAGAAAATATCAGTCATCAATATATAGTCCTGTGTTAAATGAAAATCAGAGCAGAAATTGATTCAATAATAAATTGTGAAAGCACAAGCATAAGACCCAAAATATATATGTAATTGTAAAGCAAAACTGATATGGAACCAATCCTATAGTAATAAATTTCAGACTAAACATTTGTTAGTAGCCCACATCAAGCGTCAAGCATCTTGGTTACATTTACTGTTATTTAGTTTGTTTTTTTGTCTTTCACAAGCTAAAAAATAAAAAGAAGCCTGTCCTAAGATTTAATGTGGCCCACAGACATGTTTTATGACTGTTTTACTTCCCTGAAACACAGACCTAAAGTGTAATGCTGTTATGTTACTTTAAGCAACAAAATTTAATTTTAAACTTACATTAATTTATGGTCAGTGTTCAACAACGTGTGGACTTGGAGCTGTATGGAGAACAGTGGTGTGTAGTTCAGAGAAGGACGAGGACTGCACCAACATGAAGAGACCGGAGCCTGCACGAACATGCCGCCTGCAACCATGCGCTACCTGGAAAACTGGCAGCTGGAGCAAGGTCAGCAACTTAAAATGTCCAACAAATTTAAGGCATACAGAGTATGTATTTTAAGGCATACAGAGTATGTATTACTTGCCCTTAATAGTAAATTACAATAATCAGTGATTAGATATTATGTGTCACTGAAGTAGAATAAAAAGATAAATTCTTGGTTCTCTGTTATATCATTTGTTTGGGACATTTATTGGATTGACATGTTCCTTACAGTGTCCAGAAAACTGTGGGTTGGTTAGAAGGAGGCATCGTGATGTCCAGTGTGTGGATTCTCAGAGCAAGCGTCCACTCAGACCTTTCCACTGTCAGACTGTGTCCAGCAGACCTTTAAGCTCCCTGGTTTGCCCCCACAAGCCGTGTATGAACTGGACCGTGTCACCTTGGGGGCTGGTAGGACAACCATACATTAAAATCCTCAATTTACTTGTTAAACTTAAGGCACATTTTCTAATCCACAGATCCTAGAAGACTGAAAATATTTTGGTGTTAAATGTCCATCCCAAATTCATTTTCTTCTTCATTAATTCTTAGTTAATGCATAAAGTCACTCTATTTATTTATTTATTTTTTACTTTAATACTCCTTGAACTGTTTGGCACTTATGATTTATAATTTGTCTTTTATAATGATTAACTATTAGGTTAGAATAATTATAAAATATAATCAGAGTTACTCTCTGAGGGCTTCAAACTTTGTTAGAGAACATAGGAGAAGAACAAGCAGCATCATTAAAACCACGGAGAAAAGCAGATAAGTCAGGAAAGGTTTTAATTCTTGTAAATATATTTTAATGAAAAAGTTATAAAGCAATAAATCCCAATCCTTGGACATCTGTCAGATGATTGTTTAATTTGTCATCTGATAATGGAGAAATAATGGACTAGTTTACAGACGTACTAAAACATGACCTCCTGCCTAACTGGACTGATTTATCAAGGAGAGCGTAACTTCAAGAAGCAACCAAGAGGCAGTTTGTTTTCCATAACTCAGGTGGAAGAATCTATCAATAAATAGCATTTACAGAAGAGAAAGCCTTAAGAAGTCCCATTAGGACTCAGAAAACAACATTTTGGGAGCCTGTCTGTGAAAATGTCCACAGCTGTATATTGATTATTTATTCTCCAGATGCATAGTATTTATATTTTAAAGAGCTTTGTATAGTACAGTATTTCATTTATTTAACTCTGTCACTTGTTCTGTTATTTTTAAGGTCCACATTTGAGTGACCCCTTTTGCTATAATATTTTGTTGCTGTAACACCACAATTTCCACAGTCTGGGACAATAAAAGATTTTATAATTTTCTATTCTATTTTATTCAGCAGAGACAGACAGGCTGAGCAGAGCTAATGGGAAGATAGAAAGAGCTATAATATAAACAAGAAAACCTGAGGCAGCAAAAACTGGAGTTTGGGGCTGAGTTCAACATCTCAGCAGTACAACCCAAAGAATAGATAGTCAAGGCTACAAAACAAATGATTAGATAGAAGCACATCCATTGTGTCAAAACGGTGTTCTGGTAAACCTGAAATATTAAATAAAGCAGATGTAACTTAAGAAAAGCTTTGTTACTAACAGTGCTCTGGTAGCTGTGGTGAAGGCATCAGAGAGCGACTGGTGTCCTGCCCAGAACCTCATCGCTGCAGCTCCACTTTAAGGCCGAACAGTACAGAACAGTGCAGTTTAAAGCCCTGCGCACGTTGGAAAACTGAGGACTGGGAGGAGGTCGGTTTTACTCTACCTACCTTTATGTATATATAGGTCATATATTATAGATATTTAAATGTTTCCAATTTGTCACTCTTATTTCTAGTGTTCTGTGAGCTGTGGTGAGGGTCAACAGCAGCGTGCTGTCAGTTGTGTGGGAGAAAAGGATTCGGCTGTTGTGCCAAACCGCCTCTGTGCGAAGATTTCAAAACCAGAAACACTCAGGAAATGCAACGTACAGGAATGCAAGAAAAGCTCAGGTCTGTAGGCAGCAGTCTGTGTTTGTGCTTCTCTGGTGGGAAAAGTAGTTAATCTGAAAAGCAGACTCTGTGCCAACACACGTGCATGCAAACATACACATCCTGACCTTCCAATGTGAACCTCACACACATCAAATTTAGTTTATTTTGGCAGGCTTTGTTTTTAACGTTAAGCTTCACTTCTAACATTTTCTGTACCAGTGTATGTTCAGTCAGCCATGCCGTTTACTAATAAAGCAAGATGAGTTAAAATTAAAGTTTGTTTTCAGGTGAAGACAAGGAAAAGATATGATAACAAATAATATACATATAAATAATATATTCTGTCAGTAAATCAGTAAAATTATTACATACTGTATTTTTAAAAATACAGTCTTATACAAATATATATGCATTTATTCAAATTAGTTTACCAGTTAGAGAGACTTTGGCAGGTGCAGTTTATTGCAGTTTCTCACCGTTTCATACTGTAACAATTTTGGGGTTTTTCTTTTATCATGAATGGACTATTACAAGGATTTAATTACCATTCAGAGATCGGGTTGCTTGTTTGCTTCGGATATCCTTGCTACTTTTTAGCTCAAAGTCTGATAGTCAGTCCCAAGGCAACCCTGAACCCCCAGCATACCTATAAAAAAGGTTTCAGTTTTTTTCTCATCAAGTCACAGAATATTTTCCAAAAAAGATTTATTTAGCAATGGGACATGTATTCAGGCTATCATTGCTTGATATTCAAATTCGTTTGCTCTGACAAACTGCAGTATGACAGAAAATGTAACCCTTTAAAGCCGTATCCAAGAATAAAACAAAACAGAAAATTACCTTTTTTTTGGTTTGAAGTCCTTATTTGCCCTTTTAACAAAATATGTAAAAAGAAAAAACAGAAATACATTTTTGATATTAATAATTTATTACTTACAATTATTTATTACTATTGTGTAGTCTTCTACTGGCTGTTATCAGGTATATCTGATTGTGTACAATAGGATTTTGAGCAAAGTTTTTACCATTAAATTATGCAAAAGGTGTCAGACGCAATACATTTCAGAAACCGTATGTATCAAATACGATACATTTGGCATTATAGGGTTAAATGAGGAGAAATCTGTAAGGTGGAAAATGCAACAAAGCAATTTTAATTGTAACTTAATTAAACAACATTTTTTTCTGTTTTGCTATGTAAAACTTTGCTACTAAAATAAAAATCCTCAGCACCCAATGTCATGGGCCAAAAGGTTTAAAACTTAAAAAAAAGTTGTTGAGGACAGAGATTTTGGACAACTATGTTTCTTATCAATAAGAAACATAGTTGGCTGTTCAAAATACATTTTCAGTTGACTCTCTAAATTGTATTAAAATAATTTATGCATGCATTTAAATGGTTAATAATGATTTCCAAAATCAGTTTTGAAATGAATTGGAAACACCTAACAGCTAAATCTTATTGATCTAACGATTTTGCAGTTCTATTTTTAATTTTGTATCTAGATAAATGTGTAAATGCATTGGATTTCAAGTTGTGTTTTGGTCTCTTATCTGTTCAGTTTGCAGAAAAAACACCATGTCCTCCCGCTTCTGTGACAAGCTGAAGCTGTTGGGTCGCTGTGTGCTAAGGTCGGTCCAAAAACAGTGCTGCTTTACCTGCAGAGTGACACCAAGACTGGAATCATCATGACTGATAATAGTCCAACCCAACAGCCATCCACAGACTCAGAAACCAAAGTTCTAATAAAATCTTTAGCAAGTCAAACTAAATCATTGCAAACAGGGATGCTTCAGTGATGTTTCAGAGGTCAACTGCATTTCTCTTGTTGCTTCCTTCATGTGTTTGGTATTTGTTCATCTGCTTTAGTATATTGTTGGATCATAACTAGATAATATAAAAGGTCAAAACACTCACAGAGTATAATAGATATACCTGACCATGACAGACATTTTAGTATCAAGGCAATTTATGATAAAAAGCTAAATAAACACTATTGGAAAAGTACACAGCAGTGGCATGAAGGTAATTAGATAACTAATAAACACAACAAAAAAATAGCAAAAATGAATACATAAAAAAAGATATAAAAAATTATAAAATGAATAATTATAAAAAAATTAAAAGTTGGTTTGCAAACATAAATGCCTCTTCAGTCTGCCAACAACACTTCCTCATGCTGTTTTCACCTTAGTTGAACAACTGCTATCCACTACATTTTCACTTAAAGGTATAGTGGAGGATTTTTGCAAATTTTTGAAAAAATATGCACATGCACAACCCTGTACCTGCTCCTGAAAGGGAACACCTATTAGACGCGTGTGAGAGCATGCATGAGCCCATTTATCCTCGGTTATAAAGTTGCTGTTTGCATCGCTCATACAAGCTTACTTTCCAAAAGAAGATTTGCAATTTTTCCACTCTGTCAGACTCACCGCCGGTAAATGGGGATGAGCACGTAGGACGGCCTTACGTAAAAATATCACCAGAATGATTGACAATTAGGCAAACCACTTATTTTGATAATTCACCCGGAAAAAGGACATCCTCCACTAAACCTTTATCCTGCTGGATTATACCCTACATAAGTAGAAATCAAAAAGAAAACCAGAACTGAATGGAAAAAACAAAGAGATATCTTAACACAGTAGTAATGCCATTTTGAGTGTCTGTTAACCCTGAGATGTAAAACATCAATGCTCAAAAATCAGCAGCTTTCTAATTACTGTATTTCCTTGTGCTTCTTCTTCTCCTCATGATCAGGCTCTGATTTTCTACATCACCGTCTAACATAAATTATATCACAGTGTGGTCAAGCACACAGTAGAGGGGGTATGAGGTATTAATCAGGGCCTGGTTTTCACGCCATGGCTTTCTAGAATTTTGACAACAGGCATAATTTCTACACAGTTACATTTACTTTTGTTGTATTCCTGGGAAAAGGGGGGCTTGCTTTTAGCAGCCAGCTGAGCAGCTGAAACCTACATTACTTTATTCTCAACAGAGACGGAAACAAAATGTGGTTACTCTAGCCTTTAAAAAAGGACTTTAAACAGCAGGAACAACATTTTGAGTGATAAACCGTACATTTTCATAACCTTCTAAGCCAGCCATGCCTGATTATGTCCCACCAGATGTAATTTCTGGGTCAAAAGTCCTTTCCAGTTTAAAAAGGTGCTCAGATTATGCTGCTCATAAATCAAGGCTAAGCATTTATACTTGTCAAAATGAACTGCGGAGAGACTATGCATACAGATTTTCTGTTATTTAAAGCATTTTGGATGGACTGTTTCAATATTTTTCTAAAACTTGCTGAGTAGTTTTTTTTTGTTTTTTTTTTCAGAGTGAGCACTGTTTACTTACAGTTTGATGTAGAGCTTTCTTTTTTTACTGTTTAAAATTGTTCAATTAGCTGCAGAATGTTGTGCTTTTTTAAAAATAAGGAAGAGGTGTTGCAGGTCATCCCTCCTCAGGTCACTTTTAAAACCCACTTGTATTTGAAGTTGTCTACCATTTCGTACATCTTTGATCTTTTCCCTGACTCCTCATGGTATTTTCCACTATAACTCTAAAGTGGAGGAGGCTTGGATAAACATGAGGAGTAGGCAGTGGAGATGACTAGTTAAAGAGGGAGATGGAAATGAGGAAATGGATGTCAAGGTATGTCATCTTTGGTGATATGCTGAAATGCCAAAAGTATTTGCTTCTCTGCTTTCACAGAAAAATAAACACATTTGAGTAGCATCCCATGCTAAGTCAATTATGCCAGCGACAACAGCTTCAACATCTCTGGAAAAGCTTTCAGTGATGTCAGGGTGCATGTTTTGGGGAGTTTTTGACCATACTCTCATTATCAAGGCCAGGCTGCTTTAACCCAAAGTAATGAGGTGGAACTCTCCTGCAGGTAGTACTATACAGTCTTTTTTTATGTTTTGTCTGGTTAAGATCTGTTTGATTTGTAGGTCATCCCTTTAGACTTAGACTAGACTTAGACAACTTTTATTGTCATTTTGTATACACAGAGTATATACAAAACAAAATTTTGTTTTGTACAGCTTGCAGACAGTAAATTAGCAGCAGATTAGCAGTGAAATTAAGATTTCCATTTCATATATTGTAGCAGCGATTGAATGTAAACAGCTTGGGAGAAAAACATGGTGCGAAACGCATTGATATGGAAGTCCAGAGCAGTGCAAAGACAAATATATATGGTGCAAAAATGTTGTGGTGCAAAAATGCAAAAAAACATTTTTTGAGTTGAGTTCCATTTGGTTTGGTGTTATCAGTGTGATGAAGAGTCCATTTGTTACTTGCTTTAGAGTTTTTTTCAACCGTGCAGCAGTCTGATGGCAATGGGGCAAAAGCTTTTGCAGAATCTGCTGGACCTTCAGCAGATGCTGCGAAGGCTCTTCCCAGAGAGCAGCAAGGAGAACAGTCCATTGGTGGTTTGAAGGGTCACTGATGATGTTACTGGCTCGGGATCCTTATTGTCCCAAAATCAGGAAATTTGTCTTCTGTGTTCAACCTTCCCTTTAGGGAACAGTTTGCTTCCACCCTGAGTAGCTTTTGGTGGAGCGATCTTGCTCAGTGATCCAGACTGACAGTTATAGTTTTGAATCAGCAATCTTACTGCCTCTACAGGCTGCAAACACACTGCTGTCCAGCCACAAGGCCATTACTTCTCATATTTACTGTAGTTGGTGGGAAATTTCACAACTGTTCCAATTGCACAGGTAGAATCTGTTCACTATACTAAAGGAATTCATCAAACGGCCTAGAACGACAGATTCTTTCGCAAATATTTGTAGGTTGAATAAGTGCTGGATTTTATACACCTGGAACATTAACGATTTGGATCGATAGGCAAATACTTTTGGCAATAGGGTGTGTGTGTTTTGACTTCATCGTTGTAAATGTGATCAAAATAAGGTTTGATGTTCAACTCTTTTGGAAAAGATACATCAAATAAACTTTTGTTGAAGAATTTTGATTGTGCCTTTGTTGATTTCAGTTTGTTCAGCCAAAGATTTTTATTTAATATGCTATTAAATTTAAGTTTTACATATTCATACAAGTATCCATCTGCAAAATTTTCATCTGAGATGTTTACTCTGTGATTTTATTATTTAGCATATATTTTTATTTGTAAAGCTGCTAATACCTGAGGGTGCTGGCATGCCGCTGCTGCATGAGTAACACCTGAATCAGCAGCTCTGTTTCAGGGATCGTGTTCTGCTGGCCCAGATTCTCCAGGCTTCGTCTGAGCCAGATTATTTGACACAAAAGGACCTTGCTCCACTCCACGCTCTGTGCTTCTGTCATTCAAACCAGAGACCAAGAGTTAGTCAGCACTAATGGAAGGAGTAACATGATACTGGGTCAAAGGGGAGCCACTGGTGTGTGTGCAGGATGTGTCTGCATGATGTCATGATGAAGCAGCCACCGTCCAGCTGAATTACCCTTACCTACATCTTTAATTGTGTTTCATTAAGCAAGGACACTGAATGACAATGTTTTCCTAAATGAAAAGGTTTTGTTTTTTTAAACTTAGATTGTACATTTCACTCAAATTAATGTATTTGTCTGGCTGAGTCTGAGCCTTTTTATAAGAAACAACTGTTAGCTTGTTCTCTACAAGCCCCTAAATGGTCATAAAAATACTCTTTAAAGCTGGGGCAGAGCAAGTTCGGCACTCTGAAGCGAAGACTGTTTTGGTTTTTGAAATATACTTCACTAATGTGTATCTTATTAAATGTGGAGTTTTCGGAACCAGTCCCTGCATGTTGCCCTTTTAAAGCTTTAAACATTAAACAGGAAAACAAACTGCACAATTATTCTAGATGCAGAGTTTCCTACTGGAGCTGTTAAGGCAATTCAATTTAACTATAATTTGCTGTGATGGGTAATAAGAAAAATTCAACAATGCAGGGATTTTGTTTTTGTTTTCTGGCTGATACCGTAACCCAGGACTGCAACCAATTAAGGAAAAAATGCCCAGGTTTATTTCTATAGATTTTATCCTACCATTAGATAAAACTGAATACCACTGTTGCTATTCCTTTTTGTCTTTCATCAACCATGCTTAGCTCCAAGAAATTCTATGTACTTTACAATTTCTATGTTCTCTGCTTGGCTTTAGGGGCTTTGCAGGCAAGGATAAAGCTATTAAGAAAAGAGGTTCTTTTGCGATGTGAAGGCTCAAACTTTCCTCTGAGAGTCTGACAAATGCCTTGGTCATCTCCAAAGGTTTACAAGAAAGGAGTTTTGCACCGTAGAGAGGTAGCATTACTGTTTTAAAAGTGAGGCAAAGATCATTAGATGATGTTGTGGTGTAAACTAAAGAAGCTACTTATCTCCAATAATAACATTATGGACAGATGTCTTTACCATGTGTTATTTGGACAGTAAAATGCTGGAGAGTTGTTTTATTCTCGGAAAAAGCCCCCCTCTGTCTGTTTTGGTTGTCTGGTAAAAGCAAAGTTGGCAAAAAAAAAAAAAAAAAAGATTCTACAACAGGTTTGTCATATCAAAATCAAATTATCCCAAGTCTATATCCTTCAGCCTACAATGACAACTTTGCTTAACATTCCTGAAATATTCTGGTGATTTTTTCATGGATTTCATGGATTTTTTCTTACTGCTTTTAAGTCCCTTCTTAAGACTCATCTTTTTTCCTTGGCTTTTGACACAATTTGAGACGTTTTACTTTGTTTTATTCTTTTTGTATACTAATATGTATTTTACACTCGTTTTTTTTTCTTTCTCTATTTTATAATTTTATTGTATTTTATGATTGTGTACAGCACTTTGGTCCTGTTCGGTGTATAAAGTGCTTCATAAATAAAGTTGGTATGGTATGGTATGGATAGTAAAGCACTGTGTCACAAGACAGAAGTCATCTCAGCATTTGGCCCTGAAACGATTTTCTTAAGCGTCAATGCATACTGCAGATCTATTGAGGAGCAGGATTAAAATCATAACTGTTTAATTAAAGTTGATGTATGTCTCAAGAAAATGTTTGTAAAGTAATTGAAATTTTCTTTTAAAGAATAAGTTAGACATGTATTCAACCAAAGTTAGACTTAGAGTTGCTAAGTTTTTGATTTTTGAAGTAATGCATAAAAATGCATCTTCTGGCTATTAATGAAGCATGTTTTAATTGACATAATTGTCAAGGTTTTGCATTTTTTTGTTCTCCTTAAGTTTTCTTTTGGAGTCTTCATTGGTTTCCTTTCTATTTTGTGTTGTTTTCTGGCTGTATTTGAGTTTGTATATATTTCTTGTTTACCCTCTGTTGCCCTCTTGTGTCAGTCTCCTTTCCTTTCCCCTAGCTCCCTTCTATGTTCTT